CTCTGTCGCTGTCTCTCTGTCAAATAAATAAAATCTTAAAAAAAAAAAATGAGTGCCAAAATAATGTATGTAATATACATTTAACATATAGTTACTGAGTGCCAATTTTGTGCCAGGCACTGGGTATACACTTGGGAACACAACAGACCCAGTCTATGGTCTCATGTAGATTCTCCCCAATTTAGCTGAAAGAAAAATGTACACATGTGTATTATTATATACATAGAAAAATAATCTAAGGTATCTTTTCATGGTGAAATGATGGGTGTTTTTCATTTTCCCTTTGTATTTTCCTGTAATTTCCACTTTTTATTAATAAAGAACCAGTGTTGCTTTAATAATTAGAAGAAAACTCTTAAAAATTAAAAAATTTGTTTTATTTGAGTATAGTTGACACACAATGTGACATTACTTTCAGGTGTGCAGCATAGTGATTCAACAACTCTATGTTACGCTGTGCACCCCCCCAAGGGTAGCTGCCCTCTTCACCACACAACCAAATACAGTATCATTGACCAGATTCCCTGTGCTGTACGTTTTATTCACATGACTCATTCGCTTATTCTTCCCATAACCGGAAGCCTGGATCTCTCACTCCCCTTCACCCATTTTGCCCATCCCCCCCCTTCCCTCAGGCAACCATCAGTTTGTTCTCTATATTTCTAGGTCTGAGTCTGCTTTTTATCTGTTTATTCATTTGTCTTGTTTTTTTTAGATTCCACATGTAAGTGAGATTATATGGTATGTGTCTTGGAAATTCTTAAAAATTCTTAAAATTCTTAAAATTTTTAAGAGAGAGCCTGGGTCAGGGAGTCGCCTAGTGTGAGCTGGGTTCAGAATGGAGAGAGCGCCTCTTTGGGTGTCGCAGGGGAAGAGAGGGCAGGAGGGTTCGACAAAGGTTTGAGTGGCAATGTTTGCTTCTCTGTGACCTTGACCAAGCCTCTTTACTTGTCAGTTTCGTCGTCAGTAAAATGAAGCTAATCATTCCTGCCTGCTGCAGGGTCATGAGAATTTATGAAATCATGTGTTTGTGCTTTTTAAACATTTGTGGCGTGTTACACAGATGTAAGTGGTGTTATTATTACCTTAAACAAGTGACTTCCCATCTCTGATCCTCAGTGTCCTCTTCTTAGAATGGACAAAATGGGTTTCTAGCTCTATAGTACTGTGATGTAGTAAATGTGAATCCCAGGCAGTGTTTGCTTTCACGGAAGATGTCATTACATACTTCTTGATTTGGTGATCGTGAAGAGGAAGAGCGATTGCACATCTTCGCTTCCTCTTTTCCTCTCACTTTCCAAGCATTCCCTGGTCTGTTGGCTATGGGTCTTTCTATCATTTGCCCCATTCGCCTGAGGCTGGGGGGCTTGGTGCAGGACAGGGAGTGGTAAGAAGCTTCCTGCGGGTCACTCAGCCCCGGCAAGGGAGGGATTTAGACTTGGTAAGATCTACCACCTGGGAAGCCCTCACAAGTGTCCAGAGTCCTCATTTTACCCTCAGAATGACACGGGGGCTGAGTCCTGTCACCGAGCACAGCTTTGCCAGCTCTGTCATTCTTCTGAACTCCTCAGATCACTCATCACCCCGGGGGGGAGGGGGGGCCCTGGGTTCCCACACTATGCCCTGAGAAAGAACCCCGAGGATCAAGGGAGGTGAGAAAAAATGCCCAGAATTAGTCACAAGAATGAAGTCAGAATCACACAGGGCAAATGTGCCCAGCCTTTGACCAGGTGCTGACCTTTTTTTTTTTTTTTTAATCTATCTCTTTTTTTAAATTTGAGTATAGTTGATGCTGACCTTTTAAAACCCCAGAGCAGCTCCACCCTTCTCGCCTCCACAGTGGAGGGCAGGGTGAGGGTGAGGGCAGGGGCGGGGGTGGTGACAGGGATGGGGATGGGGAGGGGGCAGCAGGGCCTGGAACGAGATAATCCCAAGGCGGGGCTCCTGTGGTTGGTTTGTCTAAAACACCACAGCTTACAAAGTACTTTGAAGAACATGATTTCCTTTGATCTACCAGGCAGCCCAGGCAGACATAATCACCTCCATCCTTCAGATGAAGAAAGTGAGGCTCACGCGGCAGAGAGACACCCCAGGACAGACAGCTAGTGTGGCGGCGGGAGGCAGGACCCAGGCCGATGTTAGTTAGCCCCAGTGCTTTGGCAGTTTCACGGCCCTTTGGTAACTTCCCTTAAAAAAAAAAGTTATAGGGCGCCTGGGTGGCTCAGTTGGTTAAGCGACTGCCTTCGGCTCAGGTCATGATCCTGGAGACCCGGGATCGAGTCCCACATCAGGCTCCCTGCTCAGCAGGGAGTCTGCTTCTCTCTCTGACCCTCCCTCCTCTCATGCTCTCTGTCTCTCATTCTCTCTCTCGCAAATAAATAAAATCTTAAAAAAAAAAAAAGTTATAAAATTTTCGAGAACAAAGAGATGGACGGGGGAAGGGATCTATAATCCCCTTACTCTGACACAATCACTGCTAACATTTATTGAATTTCCTCTAGACTTTCTCGTGTGCCCTTTTATCGAACATACCTAAAATGACATATCCTTCCTCCTACTCTTCACAAGATGTCATATCATTTCATATTATGGTGTGGTTCTGATGGTCATTCCTTCAGCAGGCAGTTAATGAGTGCCTACTGCATGCCAGCTAGGGTCCCAGGCATTGGGATACAGCCCTGAATAAAGCAGACAAACTCCTTTCACTTATGGAGCCCATATTCTGATGGCAGAGACCAACAATGAACAAAGAAGTAAGACAGATGGCATTTCCTTCCTTAGCACCAAGAGAAAAGAAACATACCTGATGCTTAAAACTTGTGCTAAAGAGCGAAAGATAGTTTTTATCCACGGGACGTGGTGGCATGTAAGATTTTGCTTTACCAAAACCCATCTAACAATTATTGAGCTTGAAGCAAGTGGGTGTTCAACATACGCAATTTTGTTACCTTCTTTTCTTTTATCGTCAACATTTTCTAATCTCTCCTTTCAGCAACATCTTAAAAATTTGCCTAACAACAGCCCATTATATTAATGAGGGCATTATGCCACCAGATATTCAAGTTGTTCCCTTCCAGGTGAAGTCTTTAAGAATGTTTTAGAACTTGGTGCATCAAACTTTTCTTAGTATTATTGTCTCAGAAGAGATTGGAGGACATGAAATCACAGGGTCACAGGGGAAGGACATTTTGGAGGGATGGAATATGAATATTTTTTAAAGCTCTGGGTATTGATTGACAAATTGCTTTCTAGAAGAACCTGCCCTTGAGGGCCTGGGTGGCTCAGTCGGTGAAGCGTCTGCCTTTGGCTCAGGTCAGTATCTCAGGGTCCTGGGATTGAGCCCTGCGTGGGGCTCCCTGCTCCGTGGGGAGCTTGCTTCTCCCTCTCCCTCTCTGCCTGCCGCTCTGCCTGCTTGTGCGCACTCTCTCTCTGTCAAATAAATAAATAAAATCTTAAAAAAAAGAAAAAAGAATCTGCCCTTTAACTCTCCTGCTGGCAATATATGTGGGAGTGCTCATTTAACTCTTTCCTGAACCTGCGCCTCGTCTTCCTCAGTGAAAACTGTAAGTTTCCTGGTCCTCTTTTGCTCTTGTGTGCATATAAAAGAAAATTTCCGAGGGACACAAGGCAGACTAATTCAGTGACCTACTGAAACAAAGGGAGGGAACTTTCTCTCCTCGTCAGCCCATCAGCCGGAGTTCTGCAGCGGGAAGTAAATGCTGAGTTTCAATACGTACTCCAGAAGGGCTATGAAGAAACCTGGGCATGGAGAAGCCTTCTTCCTGTCTGCGTTCAGGGAGCTCAATGAGTCAGTAAGTCAGGAGACGTATATTGGTGGGAGTAGAAGCGGCACCTCAGTCAGAACAGCCAAGAGAAGTGCCTGGTCTGTAAGCTGAGGTTTCGCCACATCCCAACCCACAGGAGAGCTAGCTTCCCTATCCTGCAAGCCCGCGGTATGACACAGAATAATTTCTTTTTTTTTAAAGATTTATTTAAGTAATCTCTACACCCAATGTGGGCCTCAAACCCACGACCCCAGGAACAAGAGTCGCATGCTCCTTGGGCTGAGCCAGCCAGGCACCCCAGCGAAAAAGAATTTCTTGCATCAGAGAGCAAGGGTGAGGATAGGAAGAGCCATGATATACTTGAGCTCTTAAACCACAAGAGTGTCTGAAATTTGTCCTACTGGCACCAAGGACCCCACAGGCTGCAAGTCTTGCCTCTCTCTGGGTGTGTGGGAGGAATGTGCTTAACCTTTCTTAACAACCTCACCTACTAGGGACAGCTGACAGGTGGGGTCACGGTGGGGTGTGACATTCAATCCACTCTAATCCAACAGCCTCAAAGGCTAAAGACAAATGCAGTGGTATTAGGTAGGGGGTTAAGCAGCTTGACAATGAATGCCCAGGATTCAGACCCAACCTAGCACTGAAGTGCTGATCTCAGTGGATGCTGCCCCCAGAGCCTGCAACTTTATGATTGGGCTGGTGGAGATCTGGCTGGGAGGTGGTTCTCAAGGAGAATTACGTTCCTTTCCCTGCACTGACTGACATTCCTTTAGGCAAATCCTCTTAAATCAACAGTATAAACACCGAATTCCCAAACCCTCAAAGGGTAAGTCACAAAGTCAGAAAATGGATAGATGGTCTCCAAAAGGATAGGAAAAAATGCCCAGTACATATTCAAAAAATCACAGTGACCCATTTCCTCTTTGAAGTGACACCTGGCTGGCAGATGCCCTTACATCTTTTTTCCTCTGTAACCTTCGAAATGTGAAATGTCCTTTAAAATAAAGGATTTGTTGCCTTTCTGTACAATTACTGCTCCCGAAATGGTGCAGCTGTCTAGGTCTCTGACATCACACTAAATCCTGATCGTCTGAGGTTAACCTCAACTACTGGTTTGAATTTTGTCTGATCCACTATTGGATTTTTCTCCTGACACTCATTTCACTCCCACTACTCAAGTAAAGAAAGACATGATTGTCGAGCTCAGGCTAGCAACAGTTTTTATTGAGAAAGGTGAACTGACACAGATGATTCTGGTGGCCCGGGCTGAGTGATAGAGAATCTGAATGTCTGGCGAAAGGTTTCAGAATCTTCTGCCCGGAGGAAAGGGCCAAGATAATTTCCAGGGTGAGTCTGTCCGCTTCATGGGACTGGGGAGAGGATACAAAACTAGGGTAGGCCTAGCACTTTCCGGGAAATTGTCAGGAGGAATAAACTGGGCAGCGCACACTGGGGCTGGTTCCCATGGCTTCGGTGAGCACACAAAGCTGACTAAATACAAAAGGGCTGTCAATTCCCATAATCTATAGAATTTCTTGTAGAGTGAGAGGGCCAGAGGGTCTGACTTCGAGAAGGTATTTCTCAGAAGACTGGCTCTTGTAGGGGTTCAGAGAAAGCATAGCTGGAGACAACAGTAGCTTTTGGGGGGTCTGGGTTTGGTATTCTGGCCAGCGCTATTCCTAATGGGGCAGAGAAGGAAACCACTTCCCTTTCTTCTACTTGGCGAAACGGTGGGTGTCCGGACTGCTGTCTGCTCCATCTCATAGGACCTTTACTGAACTGGAATTAGCCCCACTTGCTCACTGGGCTGAGAGAACAGCTGTTCTCAGCAGGCTGGTTTGGGGGCGGGAGTTCCAAAAGCGCTGAGGTTCCGGGGAAGCTAATGAAGGAGGCCCTGGGAGTCCGGGCAGTGCCGGCCCCCAGCCGAGAAGGCTCGTCTGGGGAGTCTCCCCCCCCCCCTCCCCGGGCCTCCCTCCCCCGCGGGCTCCGGCGCCGCCACCTCCGCCGGGCGCGGGACAGCTACAGCAGGGCCCGGCCAGCGTTCGCCGTCCGGGCTCGCTCCCAGCTGCCGGCCGGGCTCCGGAACACGGAGCTGTCGTCCCTGGAGAGCGAGGACGCCGAGCTGCCTCTGCGCGCCGGGCGGTCGGCGCGCCCGCAGACCCCGCGCCAGGCGCGGGCGCGGAACGAGCGGTCCAGCAGCAGGTAGATGAGCGGGTTGGCGCAGCTGTTGACGAAGGCCAGGCAGGTGGCGATGCCGAGGCCCCAGCGCAGCGCCAGCAGCAGGCCGCAGGGCAGCGGCAGCGCCCCCAGGCGCGCCAGGTGGAAGACGGCCCGCAGGACGCCGAAGGGCAGCCAGGAGCCCACGAAGGCGCCCTCGACGGCGAAGATGATGCGCAGCGAGTTCCTCCGGGCCCGGCCCGGGTGCGGCGGGCGGCGCAGGCGGCGCGAGATGAGGCAGTAGCAGACCAGGCTGACGCCCAAGGGCAGCGCGCACGTGAGCAGCAGCAGCAGCAGGCTCAGCACCTGGAAGGCGTCGGAGGGCTGCTCCCCGCACTGGCTGCCCCGGCCGCCGCCGGGGAGGGGCCGCAGCCCCCGGTAGGCCAGGGAGGGCAGGCCGGCCAGGAGCGCCGCGGCCCAGACGCCGCAGCAGGCGGCCAGCGCGCAGCGCCGGGTGCGCAGCGGCCGCGCCTCGAGCAGCTTCACCACCGCCAGGTAGCGGTCCACGCTCAGGCCCGCCAGCAGCAGCGCGCCTGCGCAGCGCGTGCCGGCCAGCGCGAAGCCGCTGAGCTTGCAGAGGCCCTCGCCGAAGGGCCAGCGGCCGCCCTGCGCCGCCGCCACCGCCCACAGCGGCAGCGTGAGCACGAGGCCCAGGTCGGCGGCGGCCAGGTGCAGCACGAAGGTGTCCACGAGCCGCCGCGGGCCGCGCCGCCGGGCCAGCAGCCACACCACGAAGGAGTTGCCCAGCAGGCCCACCGCGAAGGCCGCCAGGTAGAGCACGGGCACGTAGGCGTAGCCGTAGGGCAGGTCCCGGACCGGGCACGGCTCCAGCTCCTCCAGGTCGCCGGACCCCGAGTAGTCCCAGGACGCCGTCCCCGGGCTGGGGATCCAGGGCTCGGTGCGGTGCATGGCGGGCGGCCGCGAGGCCTGTGCGGGACGCAGCCTGGGTGCGGGCGGCGGGAGCTCTGAGCGAGGGAAGGGGGGTGGGGGTTGCTCTTCACGGCCGGTGCCCAGCACCTCCCTTCCTGCCGCCCAGACCGAGGCAAATGGGTGGGCAGGAAGGTGAGGGAGGAGGGGGTGGCGTGGGAGGGGCAGCCCCCCCCCCCCGGGTTGAGGCCTACGTTTTGGGGCTGGCCCTAGGGGAAGGGCAGGGACCCGGCAGAGGGGGCTTCGAGGGTTGTTCGAGGGAGGGTCCTCAGGGCTGGGACACCTGCCCTGCCTCCCAGTGGGAGCCGTCTGACGTCAGGATGCAAGAGGTGGCGTGTGCCCGAGAGCCCCCATCTGTTCTCGTCGCCCACTTCGCTCCTGCCCATGCTCCGCGCTGTTGTTTTCTCTAGTTTTATTAGAGGTGAGGGGATAGAAACCCAGCTGAGGGTTTTGTAAGGGGGGGGGAGGCGGGTTCACCTGTTCTCTAGGGAAAAGGGGTTCTGCTCTCTGGTGCACAAACAGGGTCGGGGTGAATGAGGGAGCCTGCGCTGGGGGCCTCCCTCCTAATCAGGAATTGGGCACCAGAGCTCTCCAGCTGTTGTTAGCCTCCTGAGGCGCCAGGCTAAATGTCCTAACTCGAAGAGTGGCTTTTCTGACCAAATCAGGTCCTTATGAAGCCACATGGGAAGGTTTTAAGCTAGAGAGGAAGGGTATCCAGACAGAAAAGGAGAGGGGCCTGGGATTTAATCCCAGCTCTTCTTTATCTGCCCTCATCTGGTCAAATCTACCTATTAAGCCAAACAGAGATGTAAACTCAGGACAAAAGACGACTCAAGATGGTACCTAATTTAGCAGCAGATTAGTTGTCTTTAATTAGGAGTCAGAAGTTGAGAGGAGGGTGAGATCCCTTATGGACCCGGTCAGGAGAGGATTCATGAAAGGGTGGGAATGACGCCTGACCTTGCAGGGGGTGGTGGCTCCCCAGGAGGAGAGGATGGGTGCGGGAAAGCTTGCCCTTCCTCCAGAAGGTACCCTTTCTTCTCGCATTTGGTACGTTGCTTTTTCATTCTGTTGACGGTTTCCTTTGTGCAAAAGCCTTTTATTTTGGTGTGCCGTTTCTCCTGCGAGGATTCTGGGCAACTCTGGTTAAGTCCAGATCCTTTTTTTTTTGTTAATCTTATATATCGAAGTACTGACACACAGTATTATGTTAGTCTCAGGTGTATAACATAGGGATTTGATAATTCTATACGTTACACACTGCTTACCACCACTGCTTACCACTGTCTGCATGGTACCATGCAACGTTGACTGACTATATTCCCGATGCTGTACTTTTCACTCCCCAGATTTGTTTTATAACTGGAAGTTTGTACCTCTTGATCCCCTACACCTATTTTGCCCACCCTCCAACTCTCCTCCTCTCTGGCAACCACCAATTCTCTGTATTTATGAGTCTATTTTTGTTGTTTATTCGTTCACTTGTCTTTTTTAGATTATATATATGAGTGAAATCAAATGGCATTTGCCTTTCTCTGTCTGAAAATTTCACTTGGCAGGATCTTGGTCCTTTTTTTATGGCTGATCAATATTGCATTATATATTATATTTATAACATATGATTAGAGCATATATAGAATATACAGAGAGCACATACACACCACATTTCCTTTGTCAGTGAACACAGGTTGCTTCCGTATCTTGGCTATTGTAAATAATGCTGTAATGAACATAGGGGTGCAGATATTTTTTTTTCAATTAGTGTTTTCATACTGTTTTCCACAGTGGGTGGACCCATTTTTCTTTCCGCCAACAGTACAAAGAAGCTCCCTTTCCACCACATTCTCGCCAACACTTGTCATTTCTTTTTGATACTAGCCATTCTGACTGATGTGAGGTGATCCTTCATTGTGGTTTTGATTTTGCAGCTCTTGATGATGAGTGATGTTGAGCATCTTTTTATGTGTCTATTGGCCATCTGTATGTCTTCTTTGGAAAAATGTCTACTCAGGTCCTCTGCCCATTTTCTAAGTTGGATTATTTGTGTTTTTTTGGTGTTGAGCTGTATAAGTTCTTTGTGTATTTTGGATATTAACTCCTTATGGGAGATGTCATTTGCAAATAACTTCTCCCATTCAGTAGGCTGCCTTTTCATTTTGTTGATGGTTTCCTTTGCTTTGCAAAGCTCTTTATTTTGGTGTGGTCCTGATTGTCAATTTTTGCTTTTGTTCCGGGTCCAAATTCTTAGCAGACATCCCTCCCAGGAGATACTGTGTCGGGACCAACGTTTCTATGTGTGTGCCCACCCAGAGCCCACCACGCTGTCACCAGGAATGAGTGATGGACCTGTTGGGCACTCTGGTGTTGAAAATTGGAGGTGGATTATCAATCTTGATTCAGTTCACTTAACAGTGAGCTCCTTCATGGGGCAGGCAGTGTTTTAGGCATTGCGAGAAAGATGCCTTGAGGCAGGGGGATAGATGCAGATGCAGCCTCTGCAGCGGCCAGCATGCCAGAAGTCAAAGTGGTAAAGGCACAAGTCCTCTTGCAGGTTAGAGGAAAGAGCAGTTACTTCTGATGGCAAGAGTACATCAGCAAAGGCCTTCCAGGAGATGACCCGTGAGTGCAGGTCCAGGAAGGAGCTGGAGGGTGAATTAGAGCAACAGGACATGGGCCTGGTGTGACCAGAGCCCAGGGTGGGACGCGAGTGGCAGGAGAGGAAGCAGGAAAGGTAGCTGGGAGCAGATCACAGGACGATCTTGATTTTGTTCTGTAGGTAGTGGAGAGCCACTGGACGTTTGTGAGTAGGGCATGATCTCTGTCTGTTTTGAAAAGATCACTGGCAGAACTGTGGATTGGACAGGGGAGAGGCTCAGGCCAAGGAGACCCCAGAGTAGGCTGTTGTAATTACTTGTGGGGGGATAGGGAGCATCTGAAACAGATGACTGGCGGTGGGGATGGAAAGGCGAGGATTAAGAGATCTTTGTAACATTGTGGGTCTCAGCAGAGAGGAGTCAACGATGGGCCTGGGTGGCTGTGTTTGGGAACTATATGAATGCCTTCCCATTCACTGGGCTCAGGGAGCACAGAGAGGCTTGTGCAGGTAGGTGTTCTGTGGGTAAAATAATGTATGATCCAAACCGGGGCACTTCTGAGCGCGAGAGGATCTATGGTAATTAACGCGGGCCATAAACCAGGACTGTTCTGGGCAAACGGCGACATAAGGTCACTCTAGCTTGAGGTCCCTGTGGTCCATGGGGATCCTCAGGGAGTGGGAAAGCTTAAGGAGAGTTGGGCATGACTGTGTCCAAGCCATTCCTGTCGAGATTGTTTCTCCACGCCAGAGGAAAGGCCAGAGAATGAATGGTTTCCGGGTGGTCCCTCCATGGGCATCCCAGCCTCAGGCTTGAGTTTCCTCTGAAGACCCGCCCAGAGGGTGGGAACCTGTGGGGGCTGCTGGAGATCCAGAGCAGTTTTTCTCATGTCTGATGAGTGACACCCACACTCCTGGGGGGCCTCGGGGGCCTCAGCCTCCTTCCCTGAAGGCTGGCAGGAGCAGTGCTTGCTTGCCAGAGCCTGGAGGCGATCGGGGCCAGGCCCAGTGCCGCTGGACTTCACTTCCCCTTGGGGACATATCAGTCTGAGGCAGGGAGTGCATGAGTGATTGTGAAAGCTAGAGGCGAACAGCCAGGAAACCGCCAGGTAAAAAAGAAGAATGGGGCAGGGGCCGAGAGGGAAGCCTAGGGAGGGGTTTGAGGGGGAAGGAGAAGTAGGCTGTTTATTAAAAACACAAAGATTCTTGCTTCCTGGGGCTGTGGTCTCATACCCAAGGGAAGTGTGTGGCCCAGAGCACAGGGCGGATTCTCTGTGCTGCGGCCGAGCCCTGCGGGCCTTTGTGAACCTGTCTGGATGCGAGGAAGCCCCAAAGGCCAGAGCTGGATGGATTCCTATCCAACTTTCAGTGACCAAGGCCAACTCCACGATTCTGCTCACTCTCCTCCTCCGGGGGGGGAGGGGGGGGATTCCCCCACAGGATTAGAAGCAAGTCAACCACTAGAACACTCATCCTGCTCAGCCGAGAATCTTGGCACTCTCCGACGGGTGTCAACAGAGTAGAGGTGGTCTTCCCTCTTTCTCCACTTCGCCCCCCGGGAGCCTTCTGTGACCCCTGATCCCTTATGGGCCTTCTGCTCCCTGGACCGACTTGGTTATGTGGGTCAGCCCTGCCTGCCCGCAGAGCTTCTCTCTGTCCCTCACCATGACGGGCACAAACCTGACAACAGAGGAGACAACAAAGATCTCATGCTTTGGACTAGGTTGCTTTCAGGAATAGGTTTCTTTTCTTTCTGTCCCTTTATGAGCCATATATGTAAGTTCTTACAACTTCTTCCCCCAGTTTTAATTTTTCTGTACACATAATCTTAACCCATTAGGAAACATTTTGATATTTGCCTTTTTCATCATAAAGGCCATCTAAGCAGATTGTAGACTGTAGAATAAGGTCCAGCCACCCAGGCCCAGTGCTGCAGCATGACTATGTGCAGCATTTTGGTGAATTTCTTTCCAACCAGAGGAGAGAATCTATTTGTAATCCCATTATTCTTGGATTTTCTGTTTTTTTTCCACATTCCAGCTCAGATGTTTTCCACATTTTTTTTTTTAACACAACGGTTTCAGAGTCATTAGTAATTAGAATGTACACAGTTTCATAGTCTGCTTATCTCAATGCCATATAAATCCACATTTTTCTATGTTGCCTAATACTTATTTATTTAATATAATGTTTCTAATAATTTGATTTTGGGCATTTTGGATTTCTCCAGTATTTTTTGCTGTTACAGAAATTTGTAACAACTGCACTTACAAACTTTTACTTTCACATTCTTATAGTATAAATGCCCTTGAGAAGAAGGTCAAAGGCTATGAAAATGGCTCAGTACAGATGCTTATAATGACTAGTAATTGTATGGCATCGTATGAAGGGTTTGGGTTCAATGCAATCTTGTCAGAAATATTCATCAGTAAGATAATTTTCACTTTAATAGGTAATGAGGTAAAAATGGTTCCTCATTTTAATGTACATTTCTTTGATTATAAATAAGACTGAAAGTCTTTCCGTACTTAATTCGTCTTATGTGACCTGTCTAATCATGTCCTTCATACATTTATCTACATATTTTTTATATGAACTATTTAGGATTAAGCATTGTCCCATTTAATCCAAATATTCTTCCAGACTTTTTTTCTTGGCTGTTTTCCCTTTATTTTTAGTTTTACATTTTCATATAGTCAAATTTGTTGGTCTTAGCAATTCCAGAATTTAGAATGTTACTTTTTCTTTGATGGTCTAAAAACATTCAACTGTATTCTTCTTTTTAATCCATCTACAGTATAGTTTTTTTTTCTAGATGTCTATCCAACTTTCCCAACGCTGTTACATTAAAAATACACATTTTTTTATTCTTATGTTAATCCCCTACATTACATCATTAGTTTTAGATGTAGTGTTCCATGATTCATTGTTTGTGCATAACACCCAGTGCTCCATGCAGAATGTGCCCTCCTCAATACCCACCACCAGGCTAACCCATCCTCCCACCCCCCTCCCCTCTAGAACCCTCAGTTTGTTTTTAAGAGTCCATCATCTCTCATGGTTCATCTACCCCTCCGATTTCCCCCGCTTCATTCTTCCCCTCCTGCTACCTTCTTCTTTTTTTTCTTAACATATGTTGCATTATTTGTTTCAGAGGTACAGATCTGAGATTCAACAGTCTTGCACAATTCACAGCGCTTACCAGAGCACATACCCTCCCCAGTATCTATCACCCAGTCACCCCATCTCTCCCACAAAAATATATATTTTTAAAAACCCTGTTCTCCGTGTTGTGATGTCACATTTATTGAATACGTATCTTATATGTCATTGTGTCTGCTTGTGGTCAGTGAATGAACAGAACTTTAGTCAGATTATTAGTGGCAGGAGTCTGGGTTCTGTATCAGCTTTATAACTTGACAGCGGTGTGATCTTGGGCTCCAGTCTCCACGTCTTAAAATGAGTGTGATTGCATCTACTTGATTGGGTGTTGTGAAGATTGTATTAGCCCCAGTGCACTGAAGGCCCTGTCCCCGAGCGGGTTGTGAGCAGGCATCCAGTAGATGATCTCCCCACCCTACGGGCTCTGCATCTGCACCCCCAGTGCTCTGCGCTCCCAGCCTGGGCTGCATCATGGAGGACTGCTCGTTTCCACCTGTCTTGCTGCCAGACTCCCCTGCTTGAGCTACCCCTCCTCCCCTCCAGGACATGAGGCTTTCTGTGCACATAGTGAATGATCAGTAAATGATTTTGGAATGGCACTGGGAATCCAGAAAGAGATAATCCCCATCTGGGGGGTCTTCAAGTCTTGGACAACCAGAGTTCATCGGACCTGGTGTCACTGATCGTGAATTTCACAGGGTGACAGAGGCTGCAGACAAACTGCTGACAAGGCCAAAGCACAGACAGATAGCATGACACCAGTTCAGTTGCGGTTGACAGGGAGGTTAGCAGTAATGGAGACCAGAGTGGGAGGAAAACCTCACAGAACCATGTGTCCTTGGGTGTCCACACCCTCTCTTGATAAGTGTTGAATTGGGAATGCGGAGTCCTCTGTTTTATTATTACTGACTGGTTGCCAAGATGAGGTTTCCCGTAGACCCCAACCCCTGAGCCCCAGAGGGGACCCTCCGGGTGCGTGGGTGGGTAGGTAGGCAGGAAGCCGTAGAATAATGAAGATCACGACAGTTCTTGACCCTGCCCTGCAGCCTCACCACCTAAGGGGTGGCACATACCAGGGAAGGGGCCCCACCCTGGATGCCAGAGGCCATGCAGAATGTTTCAGACGTTCAATCATTTCCGAAACTTTCAGGTGCTAAATACGGGGTGGCTGGGAAAGGACAGCATCTGAGTTAGCTTCAGCCCACACTGCTGAGGGGTGAGTCAGTGCAAAAGCCCATGGCCCGTAGCTGTGTGATTGTCTCGGGATGTACCCCAGACTTCGTTGTTGGCCTTTAGGAGGAGGGGGAGGAGTTCGGATGGAAGTGGAGCGTGAGGGCAAGAGTGTGGCTTTCAAGGAAAGTAAGGCTCCCATCTGTCCTCCGTTGCAGGTTTCTGCAGTTCTTTTCAAGGCCAAAACAAACCCATCAGAAACTTAAAAGACAAGCAGTAGGGAAGTCCCTCAATATAAAAATGGCCCCAGAATTTGTTTGGAAAGGAAGTAACATTTTTCTCTTTGTAATTATTCTGCCCACAGAAGCTTCTAAACTAGGACTTGCAATTTTCAGTGATTTTACAGAAAGTTGGTTATGGGAAAGTTAGTGTGAATTTTCAGTTATTTGCAGCAGGAATTTGGCAGTGTTCCCTGTGGGTTGATAGGGACTCCCCCACACGGTGCCTCGATTCTGCCACGGATCAGTGAAACCAGTTTCTAAGGTCACCTTCAATGCAGACTGACTGTGAACAGCCCCTTCCTACCACGGGGCAAGTGCTCGAATAGGTAACATGATGGACACAGTGCTTCCTCTCAAGCAGCTAACACATTACTGGAGAAAATGAACTGTACAAATATCTTTGACGTGAGGCTGACTGTGGTATCCTGCATTATATCAAGGTCAAAGCAGGTCAGCCTTTCTGAAGAAGAGGTCGGTGTTATAGGAAGGAGCGACATGAATGACAGGAGTAAGACCTTCCATGGTCCCAAGCACCAAAAGGTTACAAATCAAAACACCCCAGCCCCATCCTCTCTGCAACCGAAAACAATAAACCATAAAATAAATATAAGAAAGTCCTTACAGTTTGTTTTTTTTTTCATGATTACTGTGATGAGTT